GAATGTAAATCCCGTGAGATGAGGAAACATGTCTATCTTGTCAATTAAGACTGAGTTCTGGGGGGAGGGTATAGCTCAAGTGGTAGAGTGCATGCTTAGCATTCACAAGGTTCTGGGTTCAATCCCCTCTAAAAGAAAAAGAATAATGAGTTCTGCTGCCACTAACAGAGACTCCTAATAACAATACTAGAAACCAGATAGGAACCTGTTTCTCTCTTATATAAAGTCCCTGCAGGAGGCACTTCAGGGCTGGTGTGGCAATTCTGCAGCATCAGATTTCTGTGTGCTGCTCTGCTAAGTACAGATTCCATTCCCAAGGTCCCAGAGAGCTGAGAGCACGGGACTAGCTGGCAGGCTGGAGGGCAGGGAAAATGGACAAGCTGCCCCTCCTTTAGGATGCTCCTTGGAATTTGTGTATACTTCTTCCACCTCCATCCCTTTGGCCAGAAATTAGCTACATAGCCAGACCTAGCTGCAAGGGAGGCTGAGAAATTTATCTTTGTTCTGGGTAGACATGTGCTCAGTTAAAAATTGTCCTAACTAAGGAATTAGGAGAACAGAGATTGGGAGACAGTTGTACACCACTGTCTTTCCAGTTCCCAGCACACTATCTGGCACATTGTATATTGTTTAAATGAAGAAATGAGCCATATTCATTATTCATTCATATTCATTACATATTTCTTATGTATTCATTTGCTAGGGCTGCCATAACAAAGGACTAAAGACTGAGTGGCTTAAACAACAGAAATTTATTGTCTCAGGTGTAGAGGCTAGAAGTCCAAGAAAGGTGCCAGCGGTGTTGGTTCCTTCTGAGTGAGGGAAACTCAGTACCCTGTCTCTCTCATGGTTTCCCGTGGTTTGCTGGCCGTCTTTGGCATTCCTTAGTTTGTAGATCTCTGCCTTCATCTTCATATGATATTTTCCTCGTGTGAGTGTCTCTGTGTCCAAAATCCCCCCTTTTTGAAGGACACCATTCATATTGGATTAGGGCCCATCCTAATGACCTCATCTTAACTTATTACACCTGGGGTGACCCTATTTCCAAATAAGGTCACATTGTGAGGTACTAGGAATTCCACATTCACAGAACTTAAAAATTTGCGGTGGGGTGGGCAGGTGGATACCATAATTCAACACAACAAAAAAATTCATAGGGTTTATGAATTTGGGGAGGACATAATTCAATACACAAAAGCTTGGGGTCATTTCATCTACTCTCAAGAGTCTTCCAGAGGCACCTGGCACCTTTCAATCCCTGAGCCATGCCATCCTCTCAGCCCTGGAGGAGGACTGTACTCAGTGAGGGGTGAAGGAGCGAGGCAGGGCTTTTACCAAAGACCTGTGACGGTACTGAGAGTTAGCACGTTAGAAGCTGAAACCAAATAAGTCACGAAGTCCAAGATCAAGTCTATGGTGTGTCTTTATAGTATGACAGGGTCCCCAGAGCACTCCAGAAAAGTGAGTAGGACCTGTGCTTTGCAGTAGGTAAGAAGCTCCTGCCCTGTGTAACACTCCACTGAGATCATACTTAGCTGACACAGGCCAGATGCACAAGGGCCTGGTTTGGAATCTTGAAGCCATACAGTGAGCTCTGCCCTCACTCAGCACCCTCCCAGCTCCTCCCAGCTTCATTTTTCCTTTTACGCTGTCTTTGTTTGGTTCTGCCTGTGTCCCTCACTGGACTATAAACTCCTCTGAGGTCAAAGATAATGTTTTATTCATCTATGTAATCCTTACAGCTCTTGTTGGTTAAAGTTGTCCTCAAGTTGAAGCTCAGTTACAGAAGACTTTTTCAAAGGAAAGAGAAAGATCTGATCATCTCATCAGCACCAACTGCCAATTGCCCATGAAGAGTTTAGTTTGGAAACCCAGAGTTGCCAAAGCATGGCCCTCACAATAGCAAAGTTTAAGGAATGGTCCGTCTGATCTGTGCAAGAGGTGCTTAGTGCTGCTGGCACCCTTCACCCATACAGGGTACCTAACGTGGGCCAGAGCTCTGCATTGCGCTCAGGGATCACCCAGTAAATGAGAGACACAGTTAAATGTCCTTTTTTAAAAAAATTGAAGTGTCGTTCATGTACAATATTATATAAGTTACAGGTGTACAATATAGTGATTCACAGTTTTTAAAGGTTATGCCCCATTTATAGTTATAAAATATTGGCTCTATTCCCCGCATTGTACAATAGATCCTTGTAGCTTATTTTATACATTGTAGTTTGTACCTCTTAACCTCCTACCTCTGTATTGCTCCTCCCTGTCCTTGTTTTAAACACCCTTCCATTGAACTTGGCCCATTTCTCGACACACATTCAGAGCCATCCTGGACTGAGTCCCCTTCCCTCCTTTCAGTTCTGCCCACTCACCGTCCTCAGACGGGGCGGAAGCGGGGCCTCTGCTCGAGCTGCTTTCTACCTGTTGCAGGACCCTGGCCCAATCATTACTTCTCACTTAGAACAGCATTCCTGTGGCTTTGGAATATGAACAGGGGCCTGTATCCACTTCCCTAATGTCCCCATGTGACACATGGGGGCAAATAGCATTCAGTGGTTTCCTTCTGCCACAAGTCTTAGTCCCTTTGATTCAGGTGACCAAGCACAAGGGAGGCTGCTGGCTGGCACTGGCACATACCAGGGCTTCGCTGGGCCTGGCACCTGGCCTCTCAAGTTGCTCGTGACTTGGAAGCTTAGAAATGAAAGCTACATGAGGCCGAGGGGAAAGGGTGCTGCGTTTCTTAGCATCCCACAGACGGCTGAGCTGGCATAGGCGTGGAGTCAATGGGAGCGCCCTCAGCAGCCATCACTAGCCATCACTCTGGCTTGAGAACACTGCATTTACTGTGGCCAAACCAAGGGGACTTTGCACAAACTGTTTCTTTCCAGATTCCCCCGACTTTCTATGCCTGTGTTCTTGTGGTGGCTCAGACTTCTCCGGTGGGAGTGCAGAGGTCACTCAGTACAGAGAGCCTTGTCCCTTTGGCAATCTCTGTCCCACGGGTGCAGGTTGAAAACATTGCTGTTTTCATCTCTGCGCCATCGGTTGTGAAAAAGATGAGGCACATTCATCCCTTGATTATCAGATTTGTGCTTGGCTGCTAATAACAGACTCCATCCATGGTGGGTAATTGAGAATGGCAGCCCTAATTACACTGCTGTGCCGCCCGCAGGAGAACAGGGTTTTGAAAGCCTTGTACTTAAATCCCAGGGAGGGTCTGCAGTTGGGTGCTTGTTCTGCCGAGTCCATTGGGCTAACCTGTGGCTCAGTCTCACCTGTTACAAGGATCTCACAGGATACTTTTCTGTTCTAACCTTACTGCTCATTTTATCTTTTTTCCCTACGACCTTCCTTTTCACTTACCCAGCTTCCATATTCATTTATCTATATGTTCGATATAATTTTATTTTGTATTTCAAGAGCACTGAAGTCTATGGTAGAAAAATTAGAAACTGCCAATAAGCGAAAAAAAAAGTTTATTTTTACTCAACATGCTACCACCTGGAGGAAACTACTGTTAGTGAACATTCTGTTTCCAGTTTTTTAACGCACAGTTTTTAAAGCTTGCCTTGTTCACTTAACAATATTTGCGAGTGGTGTTAATGGCCATAAAAATTCATCAACCTGGATGGATGGAAAAATCACAGTATATTTAACCAGGCACATGTCATTGGTCATTTCATTTATTTCCAATTTTCCACTTTTAGAAACAATGTTATAGTGAATGTCTTTGTGGTCAAATATTTGCACATATTCTTAATTGTTTTCTTAGGAAGAATTCCTAAAAATGGAATTGCTATGTCAAAATAAAAATGTATATTGTCTTTAACTTTGTGTGGTAAAAACCTTACAAATACGTATTGCATAGACAGAACCCCCCAGGTACCCATTCAGAAAGGATCAGCTCCTGGACAGTCTATACACCCACCCACTTTTCCTAGTTCCTGTGCTATTTAGAAACAGATCCAACACATTGTGCTGGAAAGACTCATTTCTGTCAAATAGCACAGGTATTTGAAAATGGGAGAGGAAAAAAAGGGAATTGCTAGGAAAAAAAAAGACAGTTAACATTTTGTGTACCTCATCTACTGTGGGGTTTGGGCTGTGTTAACCCTTTCCCTGCCATATCTGGGCTCAGGACCCATTTGTGTCCTGGATTCCTGCAACAATCCTGTAAACTGTCTCCTTTCTTCCTTCTCTCCCTTTGGATAGGTATATATGTTTTTCAGCTGTTTCATACCTTGCCGGATTATACTCCAGTATCAAATGAATACTTCCACAAGAGTCATGTAGGAGTGTCCACGCTGTGGTTGAAGTTTTGGTTTCTCCCTCCTTCCCTTTCTCTCACTTTCTCTCTCTTTCCCTCTCTTTCCTTCTTTCCTGACCCCCACAAAAGTATCTCGTTGTTTTAATTAGAACTTACTGGGTTATTAATGACATTAAAGCCCACCTCCAGTTTCCTCATGGAATTTCCTCTTTGTGAATTACCTCTTGCTAACCTTTCTGCCGGGATGTTTGTCTTTTTAAAATTGTGTTCATCCGTTTGTATTAATCTCACAGCATTCTCCTTATGTCAGTGAATTGGTGTGAATATCCTCTTTTTTAGACTAAGATAATAAATACTACATGTATATGAAAGAATGAGTGTGCTCTATAAAGCTAATAGCTCAGAGCAGCATGTCTGTAAGGGACAGGAATGAGTGAGGCCTGCTGGTGTGGACAGGGGGCCTGGCAGTGGGGAGGGCGTCTGGGCAGGGACTGGGGACTTCAGGTCACTTCCTCTCCAGTCTTCACAGTCATCCCAAGGCAGATAGAGCAGGTATTGTTCCTATTTCACAGTGACTTGTGCCAGGGCGCAACTTAATAAGGTCTTCCGAGCCCCAGTCCAGGGATTTTGCTGCCATATCACACTGATTAATATGTTTCTTTGTGGAGGACAAACACAGCATAAAAATATATCAAATATTAGTAATTATGAAACACTTAAAATTATTTTTCTACAGCATGAAGGCCCAGGACCAGGGCATTATAATATGAAGATACCTTCAGCCAGTTCTGTTACTTCTTGTTTTCAATCCAGAGTACCTCGATTCTTGCCTGCCTGTTCAGTAAGTATTCTAAAAGATAGAGATGATTGTCAAGTTTTGTGGCTGGGATGTGGAGAATGGACAGTGGAGTGAGTGGGTGGTGGGGGTGGGATGGAGGTATTATAATTATATGCAATTCTATATATGTGTGTATATATATAAACACCTAGAATTGTTATATATATATATATATATATATAAAATTGCTTGTCAAGACAGCAGATAGTACAGAGCTCAAACATTCAGCAAGCCCTCGGCCAGCTTCAGGCTCAGAGTAACTCCAGGCCTGAATTCCATAGCTGAATTATGGATCCAGTTGAGAACAGCCAGCACAGTAATTAGCCATCAGTGTTATGACCTGAATGCTTTGTGGGGAAACACCTTTAAAGAACTGAGGCCAACCATGGGCAGGGGCTGCCCTGACCCTTCCAGAAGTGCCATTATTTGTGTATGTGGCTTCTGGGAGCAAAAAGAGCAGAAAAATTATTATTGAACCAAAGGGGACCATTCAGTTCTGAGCCATCATCCTGCCCCCAAGGGCTCGGGTCAGTCAAGGAAGAGGCTCAGTACAAAGATGGTGGATTCTGGGAGTGTGTGAGAGCCTCGAAGGCCTAGACAAGACCGAGAAAAATGGCAAAAGCTTGTGAATAGTGGCTGGGCTTTTTGTTTGTATATTTAATGCTGCAAGACAATTTTAATTCCCATTGCCTCGTGTTCCCAACCTGCACCCCGGTCTGAAAGTCCCCCAAGCTCACTGGTATGTAGCCTTATTTGAGATGTCTGGGGAGACAGAAACATGGATTCTGCCTGTAAGAAAATGGGCCCACCCCGGGGGGATCGGGGAGTGTGGGAACAACTGGGGCCGTGGGTAGGAGAGGGCTGGTGCTGCTACTGTCTGGGCCTGCAAATCGTCTCCCCCAGCCCCACCTGAGGTGTCCCAGGCCATCTCCTTCAAGCTCTCGCTCCAGAGCTGCCAGCTGCAGTGTGGCGGCCGTGGGTCTTTCTCTACAGGAATACCGGGGAGACCCTGCCACAGGCCCACAGCAGGAGGCTAGCGGATCCCTTCAGCAGATCCTCACACACTCATAGCACCCTCATGATCCAAACACAGGATTTTGTCAGTGCTCACAAGGCTGAGTTTCCTCAGGAAGTTGGAGTCATGCTAACCAAAATCCCAGGAGACTGATGGGGAAGCCAGAAGGTGTGGTATTAATTTACAAGTGTCCACCAAGAGGGCTGGTGTCTGGAGCCACTGCTCTGCAAAGTATCTTCCCCCGGAGGAAACTCTCTAGGAAGCCAAGGACAACCAGAAGTTTGCTTGGTGACAGTGAAATCAGGGCAGGGGGACAGAGCCGGATGTTCTCAAGGTCTGAGAGCCACAACCAGCAGCCTCCTGAGGGGTGGCCTTGTGGGGCCCAGGCCCACGAACCTCCTGTTCTGGGGGCTGGCCTTCCAGGACTCGCACGCATCCTCCTCCCTCGGTAACAGCACTAATGAAGGCTTCAGCTTCCTTTGACGTCTGGCCAGGACTTGATTAGATTTCCAGGCTGCTCTCCTGCTTTTGGCAAGGGAAACATCCTGTCATTTAAAGCAACTTTTGCAAACAGCTGATCTCATCCACTCTGGGCTGCCCGCTCCAGCCCACGTTCTCAGTAATCCTGTTTCCACTCTCACTGTCTCCTGAAGAGATAACAAACTGCAGGGAAGGATGGTAATGACAAGTAGGTGATAATAGGGAATAATAATAGTGGTGGTGGTTAACGTGTGGAGCACTTGCTGCCAGCCTGGTGGTGCTTGTCTGTCCCTGGGGGGCCCCCAGGGAAACTCAGGACCTCATTGGATGGGTGAGGTGTTGGGAGCCATTGGTGGCAGGACTAGAACTCAGGCCTGTCTGACATTAAAACCCTTCCTTTGGCAGGGAGGGTACAGCTCAGTGTCAGAGCACATGCTTAGCATGCACAAGGTCCTGGGTTCAATCCCCAGTACCTCCATTAAAATAAATAAAAATAAATAAACCTAATCCCCTCCCCCACAAAAAAAAAAACTACTTCCCTTAACTGTATGCAGAGACACCAGTGTCTCTCTAATAAAAAAATTTGGGGGCATTCAGAAATGTGTGTGCACCCCAGCATGGGCAACACTGACCTAAGAAATCAAAGTCTTCATCCATGAGCATGGTGTTTACTGGCATCCTATCAGTACAGAAGAAAAACTTTGTTCAAATAATTGATGATAATAATTTTTTAAAGAATTTCATCAAAATGAAAACATGACTTTAAAAATTAGAACTCGTCAGTCCCTTGAGAATACTTCCAGCCTGGAGGCCCGCCTGCAGCCCCTGGTGGAGAAGCACCTGACTCTCTCCTACTGGGGAAATGACAAACACTCGAGTTTGGGCTTTTGAGCTCAACCTCTCAGGTTCAGAATCCACTCTCTCCAATCCACTACCACTAGACTGAGGTCACTGGGGTTGGGGGGAGGCTCATGGCATTGCCAGGGACAGGAACTGCCTGGGCAGAGTGCCCTGGAGCAGGTGTGCCCTGACATGCAGGTGAGCCTGCCTCCCCTAGAGCTGTCACTTGCTCATCTGGCTTCTCTGCAGCCTTGGGGAGAACCGCCGAAGGAGCAGACCTCAGCCCCGTGGGCAGCTGCAACTCAGGGGTGCAGCAGGCCTCAGCCCAGGCCGGTGTGGGCCTCATCTCTCTCCGTGGGGATCTGGCGGCCTCGTCTGAGCCAACAGCCTGGCTCAGGAGGCTCCAGGTTGGGGTATCTCTATCTCATCACTCCCTATTTTCTGCTCTGTTTTCAGAAAACCCCGGGCCCAGGAGCATACACACCTTCAGCACAATTTCCCAAGCAGTCTCGGACCATAACCAAAATGGGCCGAGAACATAGCCTTTTCTTCAACAACACAATTGGTTTTTAAAATAAACCTGTTTTGGCCCTAAGCTACTTTGAGTTTTAGTAAGTTCTTATGTTTAGAAAACTCTATTTTGTCTATTCTTGGGGAGGGCTTGACCACAGACCATAATCTATGGCCCAGGGTGACCAACCAGCCTGCTCATCTGGACTAGTCCCAGCAAAATTTTCAGTTTGTTCTCAGAAGTCTCCTGGTTTGAACAGCAAATTATATGCTCACTCTATGTACTCTCAAAGGGTGCCTCCCCGGAGGCTTGGCCCCTGGGCGGCTCTCACAGCATCCCGGCTGGGCCCTGGTTTGTTCAGGCGGTGCTCTGTGCGGCCTCGGGCTCTCCAGCTGGGTCTCCCCGGCACTGGGGCTGTAATTTCTCATGGACCCGTGGAGACATTCTTGGTGGAGGGGTGGTTGGCATTCAACCAAGGCCAACCTGAGCTTGACAGGATCCCAACAGATGGTTCTTTCTCTTTCTTAACTCCCTTAAAAGAACAATATTGATTCAACTCGATGAGCATTTGTGGTTTCAAGTCAACAAAAATATTTTGAATATCTGCTCCGTGCCTGGTGCTGGGCTGGGGTTGGGGAGTGGAGGGCAAAACAAAGATGAACAAGGCACGTGACTGAGTTTAGGGAAGGTTGTAGGAGAGTCAAGGAAGTTGGAGGGCAAGGAGCCCTGCTTGGGCAAAAGGAGAAAGAAACATTTGCTGGAGGGGAACAGAGGGAGCCTGGCCCACCTAGCGTGGAGGATGCTAGTAGGGGTGGGAGAAGGGTTGAGTGAGGCCCAGATCACAGGCCACGCAGTCAGTCGGGCATAGGGAGCTCCAGCTAGACAGACCTGATGCTGGGCAGACAGAGTCTCACAAAGGATGGGGAGATTCCTGAGTCATTAATCAGTAATAGGAAGAATTTTTTTTAACTAAAGGAAAAACTGAAAAAAACCTAATATAAATCCTTATATTGTATTATACTTCAAAAAAAAAAAGAGAAACACCTTCGTCTCTTTTCTAGAATGTAAGCAACATTATAAAATGGGCATTGGAAGAGGGGAGAGTATAGCTCAGTGGTAGAGTGAGTGCTTAGCATACACGAGGTCCTGGGTTCAATCCCCAGCACCTCCATTAAAAAAAAAGAAAAAGAAAATGGGCGTTGGCTGCAAGCAAGGGGAGATCATCATACCACAGGGTTTATCCAAGTTTCATGTGTGTGGAAGAAACTCCCTGCATTGCATTCCTGCAGAGCAGAAAACGGCCCCTTAGAAGATCAGGCAGATGCCCCGAGGGTGGTGGCTCTTGTCCCACTTAGATCAGAAGATGACCACAGGGCCCACAGTTCCAAGTTTTTTTTCTCCAAGTGGGTCAAAATCCCCTGCAGGAGCAGAAGGTCAGGCTGGCCGTTCTGACAGAAGGTGTTCTCTCTAGGAAGCAGTGTCTCAGGTTGTGCCTGGTGCTCAGGGAAGCAGTTCTAGGAAGAGAGCCAGGTGAGGGTCAATCCTGTCTGCTAGGGCTCGTGGGTGGCAGGTTAGAGGAACCCCTCATTCTGCAAGGGTGAGAGGGAGACTGTGTTGTACATGTGCAGGAGGATCTCCCTGATGGCGGTGTGAGCCAGTGGCGGGCAGGCACTACCTCTCTGTCTCCTCACTGCTTCTCTCTCAGGCCTGCCTCCTCCCATGCATAGGTCTAGTGCAGCTTTTTCCTCATGTCATTTCCTATGCCCAGGCCCTCAAAGGATGTAACAGCCCCTCTTGGTTCCAGGGTCAGGTTCCCAGGAGACAGAATTGAGTTGGCCAGCTTGGGTCGGGGGTCCACCCCTGGGCCCTCCAGCTGTGGCCAGGAGGGCCTAGACCCTCAGTGCAGACGCAGCTGCAGAGGCCCAGTTGTGCTGGGTATGTAGCTAGGGTGGAGGGCAGCTCCCCAGTGTTCTAGGAGAAAATGAAGATCCTTTCAGAATAAGAAGAAGGTTTGGGAGGCCTGTCAAGACTTCATCTGGAGGTGGAACCGCTGGAGAACATTGTGCAGGGCATCCGGACACCCCTGTGTTTTGAGTCCATTTACTTTGCCCTTGGCTGCTGTGACTTCCATCTTCTTTCAGGAGCTGGGAGCCCTGTCCTCCTGACCAGTCTTGCCCTCTGCCTCCAATGCAGCCCTCCCTCTCCTTTGTGATTTTGGGTGATGGGACAGAGACTCTGCCCGAGGTACTAGCAGAGAGGCTGGCAGGATCCAGGGGGCGGGGTGGAGAAGAGGAGTGTTTTGCTTCTCCTCTTTGACATATTGCAGAATTTTTTATAGTATTCCATACAGGTAGGAAGAGGCTTTCCCAAAGAGATCAGAGAGATTCTGGGTGCCTTTTTCCTGCCATGAGTCTAAAACTGAGATAGTATTTGAAGAGCAGGGACTCCTTCTGTCCTTTCCAACGTGGAGAGACTGGACAGACCTGGGTTGACTTTGAGCTTGAACCTTGAAATTGAGATATTAACACATAGCAGCCAGAGCTATTGTGTGCATCCAGTGATAGGTCCAAACAGGCTTAGAAAAGGCCTAGAGCCCCACAGATGGAAGGGAATGCAGTGTTTATGCCAAGTCCTTGAGAGATCTTCACTGCAGGGTCCCTCCTCCCTCCCCCATGGACCACTGTGACACTGGCTTCTCAAAGCCCTGCCCTGGCTTCCGGGAGCATCCCTCTGTTCCTCTCCCCTCCCACCCACACACCCCAACTGCCCTCTGAATTTGGCTTCAACTGAAGGGAATGGCTCTTCTTGGCTGCAAATATCTTCTACTGTTGCCATGTGAAATTCCCTCTCAGTTACATCAGAGCATGTCAGAAGTCACAGCACTGTTGGGGACAGCTTGTCTTCTTCTCCCTCTTCTCCTCTCTTTCCCTCTTTTCTCACCCTCACTGCTGTCTGGACCCACAGGGGCTACTTTCCAGACCTGGAGGCCAAAGGTCACAGGTTGCTCAGGTGACCGACTCTGTCTCCAGCATCACCTCTCACCTGCTCGATGCCACCTGCCTCAATGCCACACAGAGCTGTCTGGACTCCGGTCCCTGCACCTAGGATTACTTTGAAAGCCCTATTATCTTGAAAATACAGTTCAAATTCTACAAGTTCAGAATCAGTTGTTCTAAGCTATATTTTTGAATCCCCTGGGGAGACTAAAAATCTCAGTGCCTGGCAGGGAGGGTATAGCTCAGTGGTAGAGTGTGTGCTTTGCATGCACAAGGTCCTAGGAGGTCAATCCCCAGTACCTCCATTAAAAATAAATAAAAATCTAATTACCTCTCCCCATCCCTGACCTGCAAAAAAAAAAAAAAAAAAAAATCTGGGTGCCTGGCAGCTCCCAGGCAGATCACATCAAAATCTCTTGGGGGGTAGAATTCAGTTTTTTTTAAGTTCTCCTCCAACCCAGGCCCATTCCCACCCCAGGTGATTCCAATAATCAACCAAGATTGAGAACCGCTGCTGAGATGGTATGAAACACCAATCACCAATACGTCTGGGCGGGGCCCCAGGCAATTATCCCACCCCTAAAGGTTTAAGAAGACAGGGCCGTGGCCCCAGGAAGTGCCTCTGTAGCTGTGAGGAAGAGTTTGGCCTAAACACCTGGCTGAGTCCTAAGAGACGAGGTTGGCCCTGGGCCGGATGGTCTGGGTGAAGCGAGTTCCTGGAGCGCTACCGCTGGAGGTCCTTCTGCGTAGAGAGGTCAGCGGGCTGGAACCCAGTCTGACTAGGCTGGGCTCCTCACAGATCTGTGGTTTTGGTCAAGGGCAGGGCTGTCGGAGTGCGGAGCCTGCCGGGCCCAAAGGGAGGGATTTGGGCTTTGAATTCACGGCTGCAGGGGCTGGGTGGGCTTGTTGGGGCCAATGCCAGAGAGGCAGCTCACGTGCTGTGTCCCCAGAGAAGAGACAACGCCGAGTGGCAGAAGGCACCAGGGCTGATGGAGGCTCGGATGTTGGGGGAGAAGTCAGGAAGGAGGAGGAGCCAGAGGAAGGGGAGGCCCCGGGGTGGGGGTGGGGGTGGGGGGCGATGCATGTGTGGAGATGTTTCCCAGCAGGTGCTCCTTGTTGCCTGTTGACAACACCCCTGATTGTATTAGAGCTCAGAAATAGATGTTACCCTCCGAGAAGCCCAACCAGGGGAGGGAGGTAGCAGCAGGGCCGCTTTGGGTGGGGATGTGGCTTAGTCTCCGAGAACTGTGGGCAGGAAGAGGGGCTCAGGCCCAGTGACGCTGCATCTCTGATCACCAGAGTGGGCTTGGCGGGGGCAGGAGGCAGGGAATGGAACTGAGTGGCCCGGGAGGGGACAGGGTGGGACAGAAAGGCAGTGTGCCAGAGCTGTGTGGTCACAAACGGAGCTCAGGGCTTGATGAGGACTGGCCTTTGTCCCCTTGCTTCCTTTCTGAAGCTCAGAGTTCCTGCATGATAACTGAAGGCCATCAAGGGGAAAGGAGGTTGCTGGAACTTCCCTTATCCAGTAGGGCCAGAGGGGACACCTAGAAACATGGGCCATGCCTGTTTAGGCTTCTAATCCTCAACCCCTCCTGGTCTGGGCACGGGAGCTGGACGGCAGACTACCCTTTGACCCTGTGTGCCCAACCCTGTGCTCAGGGTAGCTCTTTAACCAAACTGTCTATAGTAAGTTTCCCATGGCTGCTGTAACAAGTTTTAAGCAACAGTCTATGGAAATAACACAAATTTATTCTCTTATGGTTCTGGAGGTCAGAAGTCCCAAAGTCAGTCTCACTGGGCTAAAATCAGGGTGTTTGCAGGCTGGTTCCAGAAGGAGCCTCTTTCTGGAATCTGAGAGGAGAATCTGTTTTCTTGTCTTTCTCAGCTTCTAGAGATCACCTGTATTCTTTGCTCATGGTCCCTTCCTCAGATCACTGCAAACTTCTGCTCCCACGATCACATCTGCTCCTGAATCTGCCCCTCCTGTTTTCCTCTTGTAAGGATCCTTGTTACTATACTGGGCTCACCTGAATCGTACAGACAATCTCCCCATCTCGAGGCCCTTAACTTAATCACATTTGCAAAGTC